CCCCTCCACAAGGGCAGGAGACGGCTGGGGCTCAGGCGGCGGGGTGGGGGGGTCGCTGCCCTCTCCTCGGAGGCAGCACCCACCCCGGTGGGTTTGAACCTGACGCTGGTGGGCCGGAGTCCCCCCGCTGCCCCACCCTCAGAACGGTCCTTGATATGTTTCAGAATTAAAAAAAGACAGAAAAGGAAAAAGAAAAATGCAAAGAAAGGGAAGAAACCAGCAGCAAGAGGGCCTCTGTTCTTAAGTGGGGCCCACCTTCCGACGGCAGGAGAAGAAAGCCAGGCAGCCCTGGGGCTGGCTGACCGACCCCGCACGCGCAGGCCTGGGAACACAGCCGTCGCTCGAGAACGTTCTCTACGGTGAAAAAATAGACTGTCTGTGAACGGAACAGGAATACGCAAAGTTCTTTTTAAATTTGTCGACTGGTAAGTCTTTTTTTTTTTTTCTGTTTCTTCTTTAAAAAAAAAATGAAAAAAAAATACGCTATTTAAAAAAAGAAATGTCACTGGATACAGTTACACTGAGTTGGAAAGGAAAGCTGAATCCTGCACCCCTTGCCCAGTGGGACCCCCCACCCCCCACACCAGGCTGCAGGGCAGGAGGGCTCTCCGGGGGGGTGGGGGGTGGGGGGGGCGGGCGGGGTAGGACCAGGGCTCGGGCTCGCCGCCCTGCCCGCCTCCGGTTCCGGGGAGAACCCCTTGTCTGCTCACCGCCCCCCCACCCACCCCGGAATCTCTCGGTTCAGAATCGGAAGGAAATGCGGAATGTGGCGGTGGCCGGGCCGGCGAGGCTGCGGGGGGCCGCATCGTTCCTGGAGGCCGAGCGGAAACGTGGCCGCTGCCCGCTCCTGCCCTGGCGGCCGGGGGTCCAGGTCTCCGGGGGCCCACCCGGCAGGGGCAGAGGCATCCAGGCCGGTGGCACGGGGCCAGCGGCGACCATGGCGTTAGGTTGCATAGTGGTCAAAGCTTCCGAGGTACTCCAGCGCGGCCTGGTAACAGAACTGATACTCGTCCTGCGGGAGGGAGGGAACCGCGGCTCAGGTCGGCGCCTCTGCACCTCCTTAGCCTGCCAGGGCTCCCCGCTGCCCTCGGGAGCAAGGCGGGCGCCCGCCTCCTGCAGCAGGGGCGAGTCGCACCTCTGCACGGTGGCAGAGGCTGGGCGCTGTCCCTGCACGCCCTCCCCCCTGCAACAGTGCCCTCGGGGCTGGGAGTCCCACTGCAGCACTGTCTCCGGAGCGACGGGACGGTCTTGAGGGACGCGGTCGCAGGGAAGTCCCTTCTAGCTCTGGGCCTCGCTTTCCCCATCTGGGGAGCAGGGGGACTTCGGGGTCCGTGGCCTGTGCCGGGGCCTGGCTGAGCCACGAACGTGCTGTGACTTTGGGAGCTGCCCCACGCCCTGGGCCGCTCCCCGGCTCTGGATTTCGGTCTATTCTCGTGTCAAAAGGTCCGACTAATCCCCTTCCGGCCCCAAACAGGTGCGGAGGACCTTCCCAGACGACCCAGGATGGAAGGTGACTGCCCCCATCTCCCAGAACAGGAAACTGAGGCCCGCCCGTCGCCTGGCCCGCCGCCCTCACCTCCGTCTGCACCATGGCTGGCCTCTGGGTTCGCAGCATCTTCACCGTCTGGAAAATGTCCACCACGCCCTCGTACCGCATGCGCTCTAGCACGATGCTGAGCGTGATGAACACACCCGTCCTGCCCACGCCGGCGCTGTT